TGTATGAATACCAATTACATAGCACAATCATATCGGAAACAAAAAATAAGTTATTGGTGTAATATAACTACCACTTACATCTAAAATCAGCATTTAGGATAATGGCAACACTTGGTTCACCCGTGTCAGTATAATGTAACCAGGCGGAATGCTGTGCTAGGTGACTTCGGCATAGTATTTCAGTGAGATAGCAATATAAAGTCGGAATCAGATTCGTGCTACCACAAGGAGGCAAGTACACCAATACACCCTGTTCCCGGTACATATACACCCATGCACGCTTACACAACACACATGGAGGTCCCTGTAGATAGGGCGTAAGCGTTGTACCTGCTGCCCCCATAACATTATCGTAAGAGGCGACTACATTTTGGATCTTATATTTTCTCTTCTTTCTAAACAACTTTGTTTCCTAATGTCTTACTTGACAATTCCTCACTTTTGGCCTTTTGTTGAGCGTTCGCCCCTGTGAGGAAGGCTTTTGGTTCTGTCCCCGGGCCGAGACATACCAGAGTCTGTAACAATGGTAGTTTCTACTCCTGCTTAACGCTCAGTAACTTAGGAGTGGGACGACTGGTTCGCCCGTTGTCAGTATAATGTAACCGGGTGGGGTGTCTTGATGCGTGTCTTCGACAGTATGTTTAAGTGAGGTAGCACTATAAAGTCGGCTTCAGTTCCGCGCTATCACATGGAGACAAACGCGAACATATCGCAGCCTATCAAAACACACACTCATACACTTCACGCATGCATCTTGCACACAGGGGTGGTCGTCCTTAAATGACCATAGCTGTTTAATAGGACGTTAAACAATACTAAACCAAATAAAACTACCTTAGCTGTAGTAGGACGTTAAACGAAATAAAACCAAACCGTTTCGGGGTTTGTTCATTTGTTAAGGTCCTATTATCAACTAAGGTCATTATGGATGTTCATGTGTGCAAGTTATGTAAGTATGTGTGACGTGCACAACCAAAGCACACATTACACACAAACAGTACGTTCATGGAAAAACGTCCATAAGTGACCTTAGTTTAACCAAATCAAACCGAAACCAAATTGACATAGTCTGGATTTTTTTATTGGATGTAGCGTTATAAATATCTAAGGTCAATTAAGGACACAAGCGGTTCATTCGCAGAAGTTTTATCACTATGTCACTGTAACAAGTTAATTTGAAATGCATTTGATTTAAACAAGTAATAATGCGTTTGTTTGTTTGGGCTTTAACGTCCTCGCAACAGTTAAAATCTTCAAAACAATCCAGTTTTGAACAAAGGGTTTTTTATCAGTGAGACTAGACCAATATTAAAATAACAAAAACCTCTGTAAACAGCCGAGGGCGTAAATGTGGTGAAAATAATTGCAATGTTAGGTATCATTTTTAAATGGAAGAACATTAGTGCACCTTAGAAAAAAAAAAATTCATTCGTTTAGTGTTACTAACTCCAACTTTTGGGATAACAACTCACAACTTCGAGATAATCACTAAAATGTCGACTTTATTCGAAATTTCGACTTTAAAACTCAAATTTCAAGATAACAACATGAAGTTTCGACATATTAACTCCAAATCTCAAGATACCTACTAGAAATTTCGACTTAATAACATATGCAGGGTCGGGCCTATGATTTTTATATAGTGGAGCGACCTTGCGTGGAGCAAAACGTTTGGGAAGGGGGTCAAGGAACGAAGCGTCGGTTGGGGTAAAAGGGAAGGGAATGGGAATGAAACTCTCGAAGCTGTAGAACTGCATGTAACTAAATATATTTAAAAGGTTGTTTTCTTTGTTATGAGCATGCATTTTAAATACAGAAATACTGTTTTTTGTCTCAAGCGGAAAACCCGTCTAGAATGGTCCAAGGGCATGCCTCAAATTGAAATATATAAGCGCTTTGGTTCAATCTCGGGTATGTTATAATTTATTGAAGCTAATATATTTGATAAAGCTTGATATATTGTTGAATTTTTTAAACCAGATTCTGTCCGACCTGAATATTTGTGTAAACCGGCCAAAATAGTTCACAGGGAGTATAATTTATGAATGTACAGAAGAGTATTTGACCCGCAAACAAAGTCAATTAACAGAATGAACAAAGTAAAGAGTTAAATTAAGTTATAGAAAAACAGACCAACTACTTTTGCTTTTTACTTAAGATCTAGATTCAATAGAGACTGGTTTGAACAGTTATTAAGTAGAAATTTCATGTTAGAAAATCGAAATTTCATGTAAGTATCTCGAAACTTCGAGTTGGTTAGTCGAAACCTCGAGTTGGTTAGTCGAAATTTAAAGTTATTATCTTAATGTTTTGAATTAATAACACAAAAGTGGCCCTTTTGTTATTGTGTATATTTATGGTGTACTCAAAAAATTAAAACATTATTTTCCGGTCGTTTATAGTAAAGGACAAGGAAATAAATAAAGATTGGCCTTCACTTTAAAGCAAACTACCATATACGCCATACACTGAATTTCAATCCTTACACGCTTTATGAAGAAAAAAAGGCAAAGTATTGCAAGGCAATACATAGTCCCCCACGGTAATGCTTTCTATATTTATCAAGCAGTACACCTATGTCAGGATTCTGGTTACTCCAGGTGAAATAGTATAGAAGATATGTCCCGCGCAAACTTCTCGGACGGAAGGACGGAAATGCGGAATGAAAGACGGACGCATGCAGTGCAAACCTATAGCTCCCCGGGAACCGGTTGGGGACTGATAGCCAATCAAAGCGGGTCACTTCAGTGGTAACTACAGTAGTACTGATTGCTAGGATAATACAGTTCCAGTGAATCTACATCAATATATCTGTTGACAACACTATTTTTCTCTCTTCTTCGCTTTGAAAATTTCAATTAATTGATTTGAATAGCCGTTCGATCATTTTTATTTACTCATTATAGTCGTTATGTACGCGCATAGACACACTACTCTGATAATGACACGGTCGAATGTTCAAGGACAAAGACACCATTGTTTTCATTACGTAAAAGAAATTTGAATGTGCATTTAGGGAATAAGAAGATTGTCAGCATTATTTTGTTGCTTTTTAGACATAATCGATCCCGATCTCGTTTGATGTTTACTTATTAGTTAGGGGCTTTATTTCACAAAAAAAAAACTATTTTTCAATACTTATTAAATTTAAAATGCAATTCCCATCAGGTCCACCAACAGTGACACAAGTGGAAGATAATGACAGACGGGAACTTAACTTGATATCTAGTGCACACGTAGAGAACAAGGTAGTGCACTCCTGTTCCCTGCTAAACATTTATCAATTAGGGTAACGGCTAAAAATATACAACTGGTTCACCTGTTGTTAGTATATTGTGACAGGGCGGAATGCTGTGCTGGGTGCCTTCGGCATGGTATTTCTGTTAGATAGCACTATAAAGTCGGCATCAGATTCTCGCTATCACAATGAAACAAGTACACTAGTATACCCTGTCTCTGTCACACATACACACATGCACGCTTACACAACAAACAAGGATGTACGTACTTATATGAACTTAGCTGTTAATAGGAAGTTAAACAAAACAAAACCAAATCCAATTCAACTCTAGTGCACTACAGTGTTATCTTAAGTTCACTACAGTGTTTACCCAATTTTATTTGGCAAGAGTATATATTTGATTAAAATGAAATTGGTTTCTTCATGATATAAAAATCGAAAAGTTTGAGAAATTATTTTAATTGATGTTTCATAATATCAATATACATATTTTTCTGATTAATTAACATTTCAACTGAACACATACAAATTACACTATCTCCATTGATATCTGAGTTTTGTAAAAAAAAAAAAAAATCAAAAAAAAAAATCAAAAAAAATCTGAATAATGAAAAGGTCCAGGCTAATGAAATGTGACCAGTAACATGTTGGGATGAAGGGCAACTGAGCTTTTATAAATGCTTGACCTTGACTCATATTCAAGGTCACATGGGACAATTCAGTTTTAAATCCTAAAACGACTTCTGATTAACACTAAGGCCTGGAATGTTGATATCTGGCCAGTAGCATGTTTTGACGAAACAACAAGTTTTGTTCAAATAAATTATCTTGATCTAAATTCTGTGAATTTCAGGTGGGGTCTCCCTCGGCACCCGTCCTCATATGACACTTAAACCCCAAACAGAATATGCAATTGAACCCAGTCTGTTCAAAACCCTATCAGATAATTTCGTGGAAAGTTGTTGGCCTTTTTCGACCTCGTAAAAGACACAAATAATATACTCGAGTATCTGCTTATTTCAGCGAGAAGATCAGCATTTTGAAATTTTAATTTCTGAAACAAACATTACAAATCTGTTTACGCAACAACACTAGACTGTCATGAAGTCTATTCATGTACTCGGCATATTTGTAAGTATTGTGCAAATATCAACCGGATTGACCTATGCTATGAATACGTTAAAAAGCATGTGTTTGCTGCATTTTGAGGCGTTTTATAATGTGGAAACTATGTGTTTTACTAGTCAGAAATCTGGGGAAAACACTTCCTTAATAAGTTGCATTTTTCTAAAACCAAATGTCTGTTTAATGTAGTTTATTAAAATTATGTAGGTGTGTTGTGCATGATGAATCCTCTATCCACTTTAACTTATATTTTCTTTGTCTTATAGATCTCTCTACATTTGAAAATATTTGCAATATTGATTCGACAGCCGCGCAATTCATGTTATCATGTGATCTGTATTTGCTATGGTTAGAATATGTGTAATACGTGTACATTAACGAGTCAATTCAGATCTTCTTTGTCGACAAGAACCCTTTATAATTTGTTACATCTATATGTTAATTTACTAAAGGCCTTTGCTATGCCACATATCGCACCTATATGTGTACAAACACCGGTACATACACAGGTGTCTGGCTTAAACAAGTGTTTACGTAACAATGTCAGTACGGAAAACATGATAGGATGCCGTACGGCATAGCCAGTATTGGGTATACTAGTCAGCCGCACGCATGAGTGGCCACAAATGCTAATGAAATCAATACAGTGGTATGAGTAGGTGCGGCGTTAGACAACACCGTATACAGTTCGCAGTATTGGGAGCAAAAACACCCGGACAGTTAAGAGGTTCGTTGTAGGCATCACGTACAGGTCGTTGTTTTACACAAGGAAAAAGAAACTCTAATGTAAGTAATCTTAATGTTTTGACTGCGATCGGTCAATACTTTCTCGTTGTAATGTTCGTTCATTTAATACGCCTGAGCATGACTGTCACACAAAATTACTCAGCTTTGGTGATCGATAGTTCTAATACGGACGGTTTAGTGTTTCTTCCAATCATGCTGTGGGTTTTCCCTTACTTTGATGCATAACGCTGCAGCATAACTATAAAGCTCAATATATAATGGCGTAGCTTCATAAAATTATCTGAACTTTGAGTTAATGAATAATCTGGTTTTACTGTATGAATTAACTTCCTGGTTTACTCATGACGCTATGTCAAGAATGAGAACGCTGAAGTAACGCGGTGTTAAATGTATTAGTTTCCGTGAAAGAACATGGCGACTATTTAAATGCGTTGGGTTTTTCCAACTAAATAATTGACTCTTCGAATTTCCATACCTAATATATGAGTATGATTAATATTTAAAAAACGTGTCATCTATAATTGGTTTATATCATATGCACTTTTTTGAGTTATAAATAACATCGTCGCAACAGCTTGTACGAGGACGGATGTCTGTTCACAACTCTACAGGTCGTGGGCCATTCTGTTGGGTTTTTTTAACGTTCTATTAACAGCTCAGGTCATTTAAGGGCGTGCCTCAATGTGTGCTGTGTAATAGTGCATGTGTGTATGTGTGCCGGAGAAAGGGTATATTGTTGTTATTTCCTCCTTGTGATAGCGCGGATCTGATGTCGAATTTATAATACTACCTCACTGAAATGCAATGCCGAAGGCACCCAGCACAGAATTCCGCCTGGTCACATAATACTGATCCGCTAAATGCTGAACGTTTAGCAAGTAATACAAACTATCATTTTCAATGATTTGTACATTGTATGTCCAAGTCTGGGGACAGAACATAGCTCATTTGCACTAAAGGATATATCCGTAACACAACCAAGGGGTCCCGGTCCTTTTCTGTTAGAGATAACAGCCTTGGTTTATACACTGATGGGTCGCTTTCCGTGGTTACCGAGCATTCTTGTATTAATTCATTTAAACTATTGTTCGTTAGAATAATAACAAGACACAAAGATATAGTCTTGCGAAGTCTGATTGTTAACGACTCAAGAATAAAACAATTTGAACATGTTCAAATTGTTTTACAACATAGGTATATCTGGTCTCCAGACAATAACGCTTCGATCAGTTATTATTTTTAAACTATTCAAATAGTGAAACAGCGACGTCCTCGCTCTAGTACCCAAAACAAATTAGTGATTATAACTACTCTTTTTGTGCCATATACAAACCGCACATTGATTTGCATGCAGCATAATTATAAGTACCTTAAATATTTTAAGTAACAATTGCTTATTTAGTGTGAACTTTTTGTATCTCATGCATTTAAAATGTATGTTTATATATATATCCATGTTCATTAATAACACAACTTTTCATGATACATTGAAAACTTAAGGATTAGGTAAAAATATGCAGTGACAATCGGATCAATACAGTTTTGGCCTATTTGGTCCAACCTATCTGCTCAATAGGGATACTAATCTTCATTAAATTACTACAACAGGTTCGGTAAACATATCTAATTTGCACTTAAGGAATATATCCGTAAAACTAACAAGGGCGTTTTACTGCTAGAGAGAACAGCCTTGGTTTATACACTGATGGTTAGAATATTCTTTTTCAAATTAGGTAAAGGTCCTGGCGGGTTACTCCTGCAGATTCGGGGAAATTAGGCGTGTTGTATCACTCTGCATTTTAATATGCGATTTTAATAATGTGAAACTACTAAATATCGCTTTTTACCCACCTTCATCGGATGTAGGGCCTATTATATTTTTTTGTTATCGCTTTAAATCAAAAGTTTTGGGGAGGGAATACTTTTTAAAAACCAGTAGTAGGTTCATATTAGTCCTTAGTATTGAGTGGGACTGATCGTAAAACTATGATTGCCAACAGGCTTCTATCTGAAACCAAAGAGTTTGTTAATGATATTTATCACGAAGTATTTGAGAGATTTTTCCTAAATATGTTATATGTAGGTGACCATGATCGTTAGTTGTGCATATTGGACTGATTGACAATTACATTGTGCATATTGGAATATTGGATATAGGGATTGATTGCATAACCAATATAGCCAACAGGCTAAAATGCTGAATTTTCAGAGTTAAAGATTGTTAGTTTCACTACATGACAGATCCTTCTTGAATTCCATATTCTGATTTTCGTTGGCCCTTAGTTGTGCCTGTTTCATTTTAAGGTTGGTCAGAATTAAAAAAATAGGATAACGTCCCTCCATGTCATGCAGGCTGAATGTAAGTGCATTTTTCTCTATGCGATAGCTTAAATCTGATGACAACTGTTGGTGCTATTTAACTGGTAAACGGTAACGGTGGACACCCCTACAGGTTGGAGCTGGAGAAAAAAGGAACATTTAATTGGACATTGAATTTTTGAAAGAGTCGTCTAATGTTGAAACCCTCTGTAGAGTCGGGTTTTTGTGTTTGTACCCACTACTTGTAGACACAAAGACGACCATTGGAATCAGCGGTACCCATTATAATATTTGGGATCTTTATATTTCTCCATACTTCTACAACTATGTTTTAATCGCTTACCTGGACTTTTAAGCAATTACGGCAACATAGTCTCATCAAATATTATACTGCTAATATTTCCGAATATTGCCTAGTAGTTGTTTTTTCCCTGTTTAATGTTCATTATTTCGGGCGAAGGCAACAACTTGTTCAACTGTTGTCAATATATTAATACCAGGCGGAATGCTTTGCTGGATGCCTGCATATGGTATTTCAGTGGGTTTTATTAAGATTCCCAAAACAAAGCGAGGGACTTTAAAATGTGAAAATCCATTTCTTCATTTTTTTATTTTTTTTCCGAATCAACCACATGGTTTCCCAAACATTTCAAAAGAAAGTTCGGAGTCATATGTATAGATGTGCCATCGATTACGAACAGTCATCAAACATGTGCCCTGTGGCCCTTGATTAACAGACATATATTTGGCCATAATGCTTTTTCTCGATTTTGTAAAAATCTTAATTGACTTTGTCATTCATATATCAAAAGATACAAAAAATGTATTTACTGTTTATATAACTCAGACAAGACAAACAGTTTATATTGTTTCGTAATGTTGGAAGGTTCATCGATAATGTATGATATTCATGACCAAACAACACCGCTACAATAGACTTTGCAAAAAAAGAATATATCGAACAAAAAAAAAAAGGTTGAATGGTGTAAAAGATGTTAAAATACACCAACAAGAATTTAATTTACTGCAAAATATAACACTGTTTGGCAAAGACAAATCATATGTAAACTAATCACATGTTAATAACACTGAAACTGTACCGAAAAAAACGTCATGATAATGACTTTAAATTATACAACACATGCATGACAATTAGCTTACAGAAAGGAAATTAATGTTATAAAAAAAAACAATGAACATCATACGATGGGTGGCTCCAAGATTTCCCCTGTATCCTTTGTTTTTACCTATTGTTCTAAGTTGGTTTAGTGTTCTATTAAAAGCTAAGCTTAGGTAGGGACTTGCCTGCATGTGTGTAATATATGCAAGTATATGTGCTACTTTGTTTTACTCTTTCGCCCTAAATATAATTATTTTCATTTTACCCTGGCTCTATTAATATCTTTAAGCTCCAAACAAAAAGGGATAAACGACAAGTGTTGTAGATAAAAGGAACTGATCCTTTATATATAAATCAAAACATGTTTATATATAAAGTTTATACCGTGATTGTAACGTAACTGCTGTTCGTCTCGTATACTTGTTAATATTCAAAGAAGGACAACTGGTTAGCATGGACATTTAAGCTGATTGTCTTGGCTTATTTTACTGATTTGAATAGTATAGACGACCGACACAAACTACAGTGTATCATGTGTTTAACCTCATTAATGTATACAATGACTTGTACATACAAGGTGCTTCTTTCATACTTGCATGTATAGCAAGGGTCATGAAGGGTTTTTTTAAGACTTTTCTTAGTGTAAAAAGACGCTTTCTTACTGTGTTTATCTATGGACTCTTTTACTATTTCATGTATGTGTATTTATACCTTTTTTAAGCTCACCTTGCCCAAAGGAGTCCCTGCAGGTAGGGCGTAAGAATTGTACCTGCTGCCCCCAATTGCATGATCGTAAGAGGCGACTCAATTTGGGACCTTATCTCTTCTCTCCTTTCTAAATAACTTTCTTCTTCCTAATGTCTCCCTTGACAATGCCTCACTTTTGGCCATTTGTTGAGCGTTCGCCCCTGTGAGGAAGGCTTTGGGTTCTGTCCCCTGGCCGAGACATACCAAAGTCTTTAAAAATGGTAGTTTCTACTCCTGCTTAACGCTCAGCAAATTAGGAGTGGGACGACTGGTTCGCCCGTTGTCAGTATAATGTGACCGGGTGGGGCGTCCTGCTGGGTGTCTTNTCCTGCTTAACGCTCAGCAAATTAGGAGTGGGACGACTGGTTCGCCCGTTGTCAGTATAATGTGACCGGGTGAGGCGTCCTGCTGGGTGTCTTCGGCAGTATGTTTCAGTGAGGTAGCACTATAAAGTCGGCATCAGTTCCGCGCTATCACAAGGAGATAAACACGAACATATCGCAGCCTCCCAAAATACACACGCATACATTACACGCATGCATCTTGCACACAGGGGAGGCCGTCCTTAAATGACCTTAGCTGTTAATAGGACGTTAAACAAACTCAAACAATCAAACAAATTGCCCAAAGGGCTACCAAGTTTATTGAAATGGATGACCTTGACCAATATTCAAGGTAACAGGGATAAAATGTGTTTAAAACCAATAAACAACTTCTTCTGAATAATCAAAAAGCCCACTCTGATATTTTTTGCCCGTATCACGCTGGGATTAAAGCATACCAAGGTGGTGCAAATGAATGAAATCGGCTTACATCCAAGGTCACAGGGGTCGAATATGTTGATAACCTATCAACGACATCTTCTGACCACAAGGCCCAGGATGATGATATCTGGCAAATATCATGTAGGCATGAAGGCTACCAGAGTCAAAGTCACAGGGGGGAGGGGGGCATGTTTTATACATCAAAACGTTTTGATAGCTTGATGAGTCAATACAAATGGTTTTTTAAATGCAATGTTCTGATTAAATTTCAAAAAATTACAAATGATGTTGTGTTTGTAATGTTTTACAACAGACGTTGTTTTATACATAATTTTCTATGCTTTAAATGTATCAAACCATGACGTACTATGGATTTGTTGTTAACATGTTTTAACTAGTTTTATTGGCCCTTATGACCTCTTTTGTGGTGATAGGCCGTTAACAATCAAATAATAATTGTACAACAAATGAATGTTTTCCATAATTATACAACTATTCATGATAATGACGTTTAACAATAATAATATTAATAATATACAACATTTGATATAGCGCAGAATCTAGCTAGAATAAGCCACTATATAGCGATTAACAGTACATAGATATACAATTCAGATATACATTAATCAATACAATATTGAGAAGGTCGCAGGAGCTGCCCTATCAGGCGTTAAATACTTGTCTTATGCCACTTGGCTAATATATCACTGTGTGTGTATGTCTGCGTGTGTGCTGGAGATGTATTATATTGTGTTTGTAGTGGGATCGTGCTCCAACGGTATCAAGTAAAGTGTCACCTCACTTGAATGCAACAGCACAGATACCACAACATCCATTCCAGACCATTTTAAACTCCACCTGGGTTGTTGGAGTGGCATTAAACGCCTGCTTCCCATTAGGTGGACATTTACGCAAATGTGTATATAAGTATTGAAAATAAACAAGTATGAGTAATCAAAATAAAAACACAAATAATATAACTGTATAGGAGTTGAATTTAGAAACGTCGGTGTATATTGTAATATACAAATTGAATAATTTACTATCAACTAACAGTATGACCAGGTAAATCGTTGTATATTGATAAACAATGATTTGAAAAACACAATATGAAGAAGCGTCATCATATCCGTTGAAGTACAAGCAGATGCGATTTTAACAATAACGATATATATCCGACATTTTTAGGTCACCTGAGACTTTGTCTCAGGTGACCTATTGCGATCGCCTTTTGTCCGTCGTCGTCCGTCGTCCGTCGTCCGTCGTGCGTCCGTAAACAATTTACATTTTCGACTTCTTCTCCAAAACCCCTGAACCAATTTCAATGAAATTTTGCAGGGACCTTCCATGGACAAAGGTCAACAAAA